TGTGGAGCCACCAGCCAATCAGAACCCAGAGCAGCACAACCTGTGGACTCTCTGGCCAATCAGCTCCCAGAGCACCTGCCCCTAAATGCAGCACCAGCCAATCAGGGAGAGCTTCCCCCTCCCCCCCCCGCGGTTGTGCAACAGGTGGTGACAGTGGTGACACCGGTGACATCAGTGACTCACCCGGGCTGGGCACCCCCACCCAGAGCACCCCAGTGGGGCACCTTGGGGTCCCCAGAAACCCCAAAGCAGCACCCTGGGGTCACTCACATCCCCCCAAACCCCAAAGCAGCACCCTGGGGTCACTCACATCCCAGAAACCCCAAAACAGCACCCTGGGGTCACTCACATCCCAGAAACCCCAAAGCAGCACCCTGGGGTCACTCACATCCCCCCAAACCCCAAAGCAGCACCCTGGGGTCACTCACATCCCCCCAAAACCCCAAAGCAGCACCTTGGGGTCACTCACATCCCCCAAAACCCAAAGCAGCACCTTGGGGTCACTCACATGCCAGAAACCCCAAGGTGGCACCTTCAGCACCTGAGCACCCCAACACAGCACCCTGGGGTGACCCTCAGCCCTGTGCACCCCAATGTGACACCACGGGGTCACCCACATCCCCGTGCATCCCATTGTGGTACCCTGGGGTCACTCACGTCCCCAGGAACCCCAAAGCAGCACCTTGGGGTCACCCACATCCCTGAGCCCCCCCTAAAGCAGCACCTTGGGGTCCCCCACCCCCCCATGCAGCACCCTGGGGTGTCCCCACCCGGCAGGGACCGTCCCCCTTGGGGACATCCCCCTTCCCACGAGGACCAGCCCCCCCTTGGCTCCCAACTTCCCGGGCACAGAAGGGCCCCCATCCCTCCCCCAGCCACCTCCACGACGGAAGGGACCGCGAGGGGCCCCCAAAACCCCACCCCCACCCCGTCATCACCCGTTTCCCCCAAAAAAAACCCTCCTGCCCCCCAACCTTCCACTCCCCTCCCCCGAGCGCCGCATCCCTCGGGCCGATCCCGTTACCTGCCCCGGGCCGTGGCCGGTGCCCCCCGTGCCCTCCATGGCCCTGCCGCGCCGGCACGGCCGGAACGGGGCCGGGGGAGGGGTTTGGGGTGTTATTGTAGGGGGGCCCCCCCCCGTTTCTGTCGCCGCTGCCGCTTGTGCAAAGCCACCAAAAAAAACCCAAAAAAACAAGCCCCAGAGCGTCAGGAAGTGCCAAGTCACCCGCGGCCCCAACGGCGCTTCCTCCGCCCGCCGCCCCGCTCCGGGGACACGGGGGACGCGGGGGGACACGGGGGGACACGGGAGGGACACGGGGGGGACCCCCCCAGCGCCCACCCAGGACGTGCCCCCGGCCCTTATGCAGCCGCGAGGGGCGACGGCATCGCCACGACACCGGCACAGGGGTGGTTTATCCCGGGATTCCCTGGGAATGGAACCCCAATCCTGCCCTCCCCGCACCGTGCAGTGATGAGTTTGCCAGTTCTCAGCACCACGATGCTCCCTGAGCGCCCACCCCGGAGCTGACGTCCCAAAATTCCCCCTGCACCCACGTGGAGTTGGTGTGCCAAGTTCCCCGAGCACCCACCTGGAGCCGACATCCCCAAATTCCCTGAGCATCCACCTGGACCTGGTCTCCCCAATTCCCTGTGCACTCATCCAGAGCCAGTGGTCAAAATTCCCTGAGCGCCCATCCAGAGCCAGCATCCCAAAATTCCCACTTGCACTCAGAGTCGGTGGCCAAATTCCCTGAGCATCCACCTGGACCTGACATCCCCAAACTCCCTGAGCACCCACCTGGACCCGACATCCCCAAATTCCCTGAGCACCCACCTGGAGCTGACATCCCAAAATTCCATGTGGCATGAGGAGCTATGGCATTGCCACAATGCTGATCAAGTTGGTTTATCCTGGTATTCCCTGGAATTATAACCCCAAGCCTGCCCTCCCCACCCCGTGCAGTGATGAGTTTGCCAGTTCTCAGCACCACAACATTCCCTGAGCGCCCACCTGGAGCCAGCATTCCAAAATTCCCCCTGCACCCCCTGGAGCTGGAGTCCCCAAATTCCCTGAGCACCTGGAGCTGGTATCCGCGATTCCCTGTGCACTCATCATTCCATAATTCCCCCTGCAACCCCCTGGAGCTGGAGTCCCCAAATTCCCTGAGCACCTGGAGCTGGTATCCGCGATTCCCTGTGCACTCATCCACACTCAGAGTCCTAAAACTCCCTGAGCGCCCATCCAGAGCCAGCTTCCCAAATTCCCTGAGTACCCACCTGGAGCTGACATCCCAAAATTCCCTGAGCACCCACCCGGAGCTGACACCCCCAAATTCCACGTGGCACGATGGGGTGACGGCATCGCCCCGGCGCCGGCACAGGGCGGCTCATCCCGGTATTCCCTGGGAACGGAACCCCAACCCTGCCCTCCCCAGCCACGGAGCGATGAGTTTGCCAGTTCTCAGCGCCGCGATATTCCCGGCGGAGCTGACATCCCAAAGTTCCCTGAGCACGCACCCGGTGTCCCAGGATTGCCGGTGTCCCAGGATTGCCTGTCCCGGCCCCCGGTGCCCGTCCCAGCCGTCGGTGCCTGTCCCAGCCGGTCCCGGCTGGCAGAGCCTGTTTGGTGGCTTTGGCTGTTCCAGCGCGGAGCCGCCTGGGAATGCCGGGCCGGGAAGGCCAACCCAGGGCCGGGAACGCCAGCCCAGGGCCAGGGACAAAGCCCCGGCACTGTCACCTCCCCGCCACTGAGGCCCGCGGGGTCACACCGGGGGATCGCGGTCCCGCCATCCCATTTTTGGGGGCGTGCGACAACACGGTTGGCACGGCCCCGTCACGGCAGGGCCACCCCTGGGGACATCCCTGTCCCTGCCACCCCCGGGGACATCCCCGTCCCTGCCATCCCCTGGGGACACGAGCTGTGTCCCGTTTTAAGGCCGCTCCCGGAGCGCTGCCCTCATCCCGTGTCACCAGCCGGGGAGGGGACAGTGACAGGGGCGCTGCCACCGAGGTGTCACTGCAGCCTCGTCCTGGCCAGGGGATTGGGGACATCACCACGGCGAAGGCCAGAGGGTTTTGCTGCGTGACAGGGGGGTGACACCGAGGTCCTGCCTTTGTCCCCGGTGCCTCTCAGAGGTGGCACGGCCACCCCGTGGAGTGGGCACACCCTGACAGGTGGTCCCTGTCCCCACCCAGGGGGTGACACGTGTCCCTGCACCAGTGCCCTGACACCACCACAGGACCCTGTAGGGCCATCGGACCCTGGTGGCTTGGCAGGTGTCCCCAAGAGCCCGTGGACAGCCGATGGTGTGGCACCTGTCCCCATGCCACCACACACACCTGGGGAGTGGCACCTGTCCCCATGTGACCATGGCCACCACAATGGTGTGGCACCTGTCCCCATGTGACCAAGGACACCCCAAAGTGCTGTCCCCCTGTCCCTGTAAGACCACAGACAGTGGTGCCACCTGTCCCCACACGGCCACCCTGACAGCTGACACCTGACCCCCGATGACCTTACAGCTCCTGACAGGGGCAGTGGGTCCTGTCCCCACCAACACCTCGAAGGCGTGGCACGTGTCCCCACATGGCCACAGGTACCTTGGGGTTTGGCACGTGTCCCCACACGGCCACAGGCACCCCAAAGTAGTGGCATCTGTGCCCAGACAATCACAGACACCTTGATGGTGTGGTGCCTGTCCCCGTGTGACCAAGGCCACCCCAAAGTGGTCCATCCCTCAATGACAGGGCTCATGTCCCCCTCATGACCACGGACACCCCAACACAGTGGCACCTGTCCCTGTGCCACCCCCTTTCCCCTCCGATGTCACAGTCCCTGTCCCTGTACAACCCCCCCAGATGTGTCCCCCCAAAGAGGGGGGCTCTGTATTTTAGGGTGTTTTGGGGTGCAGAGGAGCCGGTGGCTCCCAGGTGCCACCAGGTGAGGTGACACCCCCCCCTCCAGGTGTCCCCACCCCCAGCTGGCAGCAGGGTGCCCATCCCTGCACATCCCGGGGGGATTTTTGGGGCCAGGAATAAACCCTTCCCCCGCCCCAAACCCACGCGGTCACTCCCAACCCGCGGGCACAGCCGTGTGTGGGGGGTGACACGGGGGGGGGACACACACACGGGAGGGGGGAGGTGACACGGGATCCGCCCCCCGGCCCCGCCCCTCAGTTGGGATAATGGGATAATTAAGGAGAAAGCACGAGGGACTCTCGGGGTGGGACCCGCACAGTGACCCCCCCGGGACCCCCGAGAGCAAAGGGAGGAGCTGGCGGTGCCAGGGAGGGTTTTAGGGGTCCCCAAGCTCAGGATAATCCCCCCAGCCAGGACCCCCGTTGTCCCCACCCTGTCGCCGCTCCAATGTCACCGCGGCCGCACCTGTCGCCGGGCGGTGGCGCAGGGACACGGACCCCCCCCAAAAACCCCCAAAAACCTGCCAGGGAGGGGGGGAAAGACCCCCCGAACCTCCCGGGTGGGAACAGGGGACCCCTCGAACCGCCCGGGTGGGCGTTGGAGGGGTGGGGGGACCCCAAAATCCCCCGGGAAAGGTGGGGAAGGAGGGGCGGGATGTGCCGGGGGGGGTCCGGGGTTTGGGGACCCCGGGATGCCGGGGGACGCGGTGGCACAAGGGGGGACACGGGGGTGTCGCGAGCTCGGGGCCGCGACCCCGGCCGGGGGTCTCGGGACCCCGGGATATCCCACGGGGGTCCGGGGGCAGGACACAAGGAAGGGGGGTATAAAGGAGGGGGTAACACGGAGGGGGTCCGCGACCCCGGGATGTCACAGCGGGGTGAAAGGGGGGCACAAAGGGGGGCTCGGGATGCAGCGATGGGAGGGGGCGGTGCGAGACCCCAAATGCAGGGGAGGCACTCCCAAAGAGGGGGCAGAGCCAGGGGAGGGCTGGGGGTGCGGGGTGCCCCGAAGGAGGGCGCGCTGCCCACCTCACCTTGGCGAAGTAAAGCATCCAGAGCTCGCAGAGCCGCTCCCGGGAAGCCATGCCGGGCCGGCACGGCTCGGCACGAGCCGCAGCTCCGCCCCAAAACCCCCCCAAATTCCTCCCCCCACCCAGCGCTGGGACCTCCCCCAGGTGTGGGGGGGGCGGGGACATCGTCACCCCCATCCCCCCATCCCCACCCCATCCCCACCCCATCCCCACCCTCCACCTGCTCGGGGCGCCCCTTCCCCACCCTGTACCATCCCCAGCCCTGCCTTCCCCTCCCTCTTCCACCTGCCCGAGGTAAAATGGGGTCGGGGAGAAGGGGAGGGGGGGATAAACGCCCCTAAATCCCCAAATAATGAACCGCCCTAATTAACGCAGCGGGGAGGACACACTCCGAACAAACGCGACACGGGCTTATTTTCTCCTTTCAACCTCTTTTTTTTTGGTCGATTTTCACCCTTTATTTCACCATTTTCCCTCGGCCCCCTCACCCAGCGCTCCCCCCCCCAATCGATTGCGCTTCGCTCGATGCGCAGCGACGAGCTCTGCGCTCGGCTGGCCGCGCCTGGCCGCGCATGCGCGCTGCGCGCTGTACGGACCGGGGGGACAAGATGGCGGCGCCCGCTGGGGCCGCGGAGCCCCCGAGGAGGGAGCGGGGCCCGTGCTGGGCAGGCTGGAGGAGGAGGCGCTGAGGCGGCGGGAGAGGCTGAAGGCCCTGAGGCAGAGGACGCTCCAGGTCGGGCGGTCTGGGCGGTGGGAGGGCGGGGGGAGGGTGTGGAGAGGGTTTGGGGCTCATTCCTTCCCCTCGCTCTGCTCCGCTCCGCAGAGATCCCGCCTGGAATGCTGCGCCAGGGATGGGGAGCTCCTGGGATGAGCCCAGAGGAGGCCCCGGAGCTGCTGCCAGGGCTGGATCCCTCTGCTCTGGAGCCAGGCTGGGACAGCTGGGGGGGTTCCCTGGAGAAGAGAAGGATCCAGGGAGCCCTCGGTTAAGGCATCCTGCTCCTCCTGGAATTCCCAGGTCGTTCCAGCTCTTGGGATGCACCTGATGCCTAAAAAGGTGGCGCTTTTTAATTCCCGCTGTTCAGGAAAACAGCAGGAATTTCCAGGGAGAAACTGCTGGGAATGTCCTTGCCTGGGTACAAATCCAGGTTTTGCTGGGATTTTGGGCCAACAGGAAGGGTTGGAGGCACCAAAAAGAGGGAAAAGGGAATTTCTTCCTTCTTCTTGCTCAGATTCCAAGGCAGATTCCTTTGAGGAAGCTCTCCAGAAATATTTAGGAATAAAAATGCAGTGGGAGAAGAGAATAAATAAACCAAGGAAGGAGATTCCTGCTTGGGAATTCCAGGAGATGTGGGAAGCTGCTGGATGAGCCTCCTCTGTCTGCAATCCTTGGATTTCCAAGGGAGTGGAGCAGGTGGTTGTGCTGTTGGTCCTGTGGAAATGCTTTTTGTGGGAATATATTCCAGGATTATCCGTGTGGTCCCAGGGAAAAGGGATGGATGGATGAGTTCCTGCTGGGAGATTCCCTCTTTTCCTCCCTGGCACCGTTCCCTGCTTTCTTCCCTTGGGAAGTGGGAGCAAAGTGGTGCTTTTTTCCCTGAATTTAAGGAAAAAATTCCTGCCTGTGCCAGTGTTTAGGATTCCCAGTCAGGCACATCCTGGATTTTTCCTTTTCCACTCACTTTTCCTGCTGGGAAATCCTGGGATAGAGTTCTCAGGTTCCAGTCTGAGGGGATTTCCCAGGAAAGGACCTGGATACTCCTGTCCTTTCAAAGTCCCTGCTGGCTCAGGGAATGCTGAGAACATTCCAAAGGGATCCACCGGCAAAATCCAGGCTGGTCCTGTGGGATGTGCCGATCCTTTCCTGCATCCCCAACATTCCCCACCCAGCCACAGCTCTTCCTCCTGCTCTGTTATCCCCAAATCCCTGAAAAGCAGCAGCATTCCCGTGTTTTTGTGGGAATGGGGGGGTCTCTCCCACCTGCTCCTTCACTCCAGAGTGTTGGAAAAGATTCCTTTGGCTGCATCCCAAGCTTTTGTTCCAGCCTGGATTGGCTCCAGAGCCAAATCCCTGCTCCTCCCACCCCTTCCCGTGGGGCAGGAAAAGCGGGAGCGGGAGGAAGGGCAGGCCCTGCTCCTTTTCCCCCCTCACTATGGAATGTTCTCCCACCTTTCCGCTCCTTCCCTGCTCCTTTTCCCCCCTCACTATGGAATGTTCTCCCGCCTTTCCGCTCCTTCCCTGCTCCTCCCCAGCCCCAGATCCCGGGAAAACTGTTGCTGTGGAAACAGAGCTCAGGGAAGTCATTCCATGGGGGAAAACACGCACTGAGGGCTCCAAAGGATCCGTCCCTCTCCAGGTTTGGCAGGGAAGGCACAAAGGATCCCCTGGAAGTGTCCAAGGCCAGGCTGGAGCAGCCTGGGATAGTGGGAGCTGTCCCTGCCCGTGGGGGTGGGAATGGGATGATCCTTAAAGCTCCTTCCCAACCCAAACCAGGCTGGAATTCTGGGGAATAATTGTGGGGTTTGGGTTTATTTTTAAGCTCCTTTCAGGACTTAACTCTGTTAATTCCTTTGGGAATGAACTCTGGGAATAGGTGAGTGCCCAGACATCCTCCCCCCTGCAGCACAGGGATCCAGGGTGGGAAGGGAGGCTGCAGGGAGCAGTGTTGGGCTCCATCCCTGAGCACATTCCCGGGAAATCAGGAGCTGCTCTGGCCTTTTCAGGGAGCTGGGGCTTTGTCTCCTTAAAGGATGCACGAATTCCATGTCTGCCTCTTCCCAGCTCCTCTGCAGCATCCTGGGAAGCAGAGACCTGCCTGCTGCTGTCTGACAGCTTGGGTGGGAGGGAGCAAAGAAATCCAAGTGTTTTCCCTCAGCTGGAATTCCCAAGGCCCTGGAATTCCCCATCTCTTTCCTCTGTGTGAGTGGATCCTGCTGTGGCCACATCCCAGCTTTCCTGCCTTGGGTTTGACCCTGGGATGAGGTGATTCCAGAAGGTGATTCCCAGAAGGGAGGCAGCTTTTGTTGGCACCTTTCCATCCCTTTCTGGCTGGTTTGGTTGGAATTCTGTGGGAAGGGAAATTCCCTGAAGAGGTTTCCCACTGGGAGAGGTGAGCACAGGCCACGGGAACGTCCCTTGGGATGGCCCAGGGAATGCAGGATGGCAGTGTGGGAATTAGGGAAGGAGGCTGAGAGTCCACAGGGACAACATTCCAGTTCTCCTCCTCTTGTCCTGTGGGATGGGACAGGGAGGAGAGGGCCGGATTGGCTGGATTGGAGAGGGAATTCCGGAGTTGAGGAGTCACTGGGGCTGCTCCAGGAGGAAAAGAGAGATATTTCCCTCCCAGCCTGGTTTTCCCAGGTGGAAAGATGCTGCTGGACATCACCAGGATCATCCCAACCTCATTCCTGCTTGGAGGCTCCAGGGGGAATCGAAGATGAAAGGAAAATTCCTCTCCAATCCAACATTCCCAGCAAGGCACAACCCCCTCTGGGAATGGGGACTCCAAACCTTCCCTGGGCAGGATTATCCCACTATCCAAGCTGAATTCCCTCTCCTCCCATCCCTTTTCCCTGGGAGCAGCCCCCTCCTCCTGTCAGGGGCTTGCAGTGACAGCAGGGATTTTCCAAGGACAAAGGGGCCGGATTTTCCAGGGCCCTTTTGTTCCTTTCCCGTGGAAGTGCCGCTGCTCCAGCTGGGATTGAGCCATTTCCATAGTAACCAGGATCAGGGATTCCTGAGGAAGGAGCAGCAGGGACACACAAGTTCTGCCTCTTTGCTCCCGGATTCCAAGCAGCTCCCGGAAAACCAGCGGCAGATCCTGGATCCTGAGGAGGTTTTAGGGATGGTTTTAAGGTTGTGTCATTTAATTCTGATCCTGGTGGGGATTCTTTTGGGAATTGTTGGATTTCGGAGCTGTTTCACCGCCTGGAGGAAGCTTTGGCTGCTCCAGGGGTAGTTCAGGACTTGGCTCTTTGCCTCTGGAATGGAATGTTTGGGAAAGGCCTGGAGGTGAGGGAAGGGTGGGATTCCAGGACACCTGAGCCTCACCTTGGCCATGAGGATGGAAAAGTTCCAGGAGGAGCCATCCTGGAATGAAAGAACTTCCCTGGGAGCTGAGCTCAGCTCCGTGTCTCCTTCAATCCAAAGAAATTCCAAGGAAAACAGGGATTTAACCCCAAACAAGGTGGATGCTCATTTCCTGGATGAAGTTATCCATGAGGAAATCCCACTGTGGCACCTGGAGCTTCCCAGTTCCCAGGGAGACGAGACTGGGATGTTTTTGTGGATCTGAACCTTTCCCAGAGCTGGATCCCAGAAAAGAGGGAATAGGAGCAGCTCCAGCTCAGCTGGCAGCAAAGACCTGGAGAAATCCAGCTTTTTTCCAGCACTCACCTCCTTTTAACTCCTCCAGAAGAGACAATTCCTTGTGCCAAGGAACCCTTTGGATGGGAATTGACCATCCTGGAATCCTTATGGGAAAGACACGGAGATCTTGGGTTGGAGGAATTCCAAAGGGTTGGATGAAGAGAGCGGATGGAAGGGGGTGGTTGGGAATGATGGAAAACCTGCTTGGCAATTCCTGGAGTTTGAAGGGAGCGTCACTTTTGCCATGGAAATTTGGTTTAGGGGAAAGGTGGGATGGGCTGGATTTCCACAGTTCCCTGGCAGGATGTGGGATCCAGGTGGGAATCAGGCTCTTCTTCCAGGGAACAAGGGATGGGATGAGAGGAAAAGGCCTCTCAAGTTGCACCAGGGGAAGTTCAGGTTGGATTTAGGGACAATTCCCGCCTGGAAAGGACTGTCCAGGCCTGGTGGAATCCCAATCCCTGGGGGATTTCAAGCTCTTGGGAAGTGAGGGGTGGCAGGAAGCAAAACCTGGGAATAAGTTATGGAATGAGGTGGGTTGGAAGTGAAGCAGTGAAGGGAAAATTGTGGATCCTGCAGCTGCTCCTTCGGGATAAGGTAGTGTCCTTTCCCTTCTCTTGGAAAAGATGCTTTCTTTGGATGGGCATTGTTGGGAATTGTTGGGCTGGGAATTCCCAGATGAAGGGGGTTTAACCCCCCCCTCCCTCTTGGCCTTAATGGATGCAAGGCAAAGAGCTGCTTCCCTGATTTCCCTGGAATGCTCCTGCCATGTGGGAAAAGCCTGATAATGTGCTGGAGCCCGAGGGAAAGCTCCACATTCCTTAAAAAGTTCCATTTCCCAGGAAACCAAGAGCTGGGAAAGCACCTGCCGGGTTGGAGAGCTGGTTTCCTGCAGGGAAAGGAAGTGGGGTGGGATGCAATTCCATAGAATAAGTAGGAATTGCCCCAAAAGGGCGAGTTGGAGAGGATTTAAATTCCAGGAATTTGAGGATCCAGGGAAAAGCTTTGTGGCTTTTCCTGGGGGGGGAGGGAACAGCCACAGCTCTAGGGGGGAATTTGGGCAAATCCCTCCTTGTCTGGAAACCCTCTGGAGAACATTCCATGAGGAACCAGGGAATGAGGAGAACATTCCATGAGGAACCAGGGAATGAGGAGAACATTCCATGAGGAACCAGGGAATGAGGAGAACATTCCATGAGGAACCAGGGAATGAGGAGAACATTCCATGAGGAACCAGGGAATGTGGAGAACATTCCAGCAAAGGACTTGGAGTGCAGGAAAGGACTTCCCACGACTTTCAATCCCATGGAAAGGGGTCTAAATATTTCCCATAGCTCCCACTGGGAAATTCCAGAGGTTCTTCCTGGATATTTATATTTATTGGACAAGGATTGTCTGTGTGGGTATCCCAAGGTTAACATGGAGTTAAAAATCCAACTAAAACTGCAAATTCAGGGATGATTCTTGTTCTTTTCCCCTCTTTTTAAGAAGCTGGGAATGTTTGTGTTGCCCTTTGAGCAGGAGCTGATCCTGAACAACTCCAGGCCCGGAATGGAGCCGGTTCCTGGCTCCTTTCCCTGTTTGTTTGGGATCTAATTTTTAACCCAGGCTGTGGAGCAGAGGCTGGAAGTTTGTGCAGTCGGGATACAGGGATGAGTCAGCTCTTTGTTGGGAAGCATTCCCGGTTCTTGGAGGGGTTTGGGGTTGGTTCAGCTGGAAATAACATTGGGATCCTGGAGCTGGCTCCAAGAGAGGGGCTGGGATGGAGGGACAGGACACAGGGAATGGCTTTGAGCTGAAGGAGGGTAAATTTAGGTGGGATATCGGGAAGGAATTCCTGGCTGGGAGGGTGGGGAGGGGCTGGAATGGATTTCCCAGAGAAACTGTGGCTGCCCCTGGATCCCTGGAAGTGTCCAAGGCCAGGCTGGAGCAACCTGGGATGGTGGGAGATGTTCACATTCCAGACCTGGGCCTGCCTGGATAACAAAGATCATCGGGAATTCCACTGATCAGCTGCTTGTCCCGGGCTCTGGGGATGCAGGATGAGCCTCTTCCCAAGGGAAATTGGATTTATGGTGTCTCTGGAGCTGAAATCCCACCCTTTATTGTGCTGATCCCTCTTTGATCCCACGTTTTCCAACTTGGTTAAACATCCAAGAGGGGAAATTAGGGGCGGGGAGAAAAAGGGGACCTGGCGTTGATTCCCAGATTTTTTGCACGGCTTCCTCCCTTCCTGGACCTTTGTTATCTCTTTTATCTTCCCTCATTCCCTGCATCCAATATCCCAATCCCTGAGGAATTTGGGGCTGGTTTTTTTTGCCTTCCCTCGTTCCCAGAGAGGCCAAATCCCAGCAGATCCATGTGTTTTGTTTTTCCCAGAGCAAGGACGGTGGGGAACGGGAGAACAAAATTCCCAGGCAGGAGGAGGAGGAGGAGGAGGAGCCCGTCAAGCACAAGTAAGGATGGATTTATTCCCGCTTTTCTCTCCCTGGGATGTGTTTTGAAGGAAGGTTTTTCCCTTCTGTGCAGCTTCATTTAGTTTTTATTCCGAATTCCAAGGGCAAATAATCCCAGGTGGGGGGGTGGTTGCATTTGATGGACTTGGGGGGCTTTTCCAGCCTTAAAAACTCTGGGAATATAAAGAGGGAAAACCTGGGGTTGAGTGGCAGTGTTTCCAGTGGGATTTCCCAGCCGTTCCTGCCCCTCTGTCCCTGTTTTTAGGGGTGTTTGGAGGGTGGAGTTTGTTTTTCCATGGATTCACGTGGCTGTTTTTCTCCCTGGAAAAGGGGAGCACAAACCCAGCTGAGCCAGGGAGTCACTCCTGGCAGGAGCAGCTGCCTCTGGAATCGTTGTCCTGCCCTAAAAACTCCCATCAGGGATTTTTCTGGGAGACCCAAAGGAGGTAGAACCAGGTTTGAAAAATGTGGGATGTGACCTTTTCCCATCCTTTATCCCTAAAATCCTGAGGGAGCCAGAAAGGAGCAGAGCAAACCCTTGCTGTTCCTCGGGAATACTGGGGAGGATTTTCCCTGCAGGAAACACACCCCTTGTGGGGAAACAGGGCTATGTTTTCCCCCTGGATTTGGGGCTGGAAGTGCTGCTGGAGAAGCATCCCTGAGATCCCTGGGAGTGCCTTTTCCGCAGGGTCGGATTCGGGGCCGGAATCGCCACGAGAGGTCTGGGCCGAGGCTGAAACAGGAGCTGGAGGTGCCGGGAATGTGGTGAATTATGGATCACCTGCTCTTGAATTCCAGCCCTGCCACCTGATCCCCTGCCCTGTGCTCCCCATCCCTGGGCTGCTCATCCCACCCTGGAATTCTGAGCTGATCCTCTCAGGTGGGAAAAAAAAAAAAACACCGGATTTTTTTAGCTGGGAATTCCTGCTTTTTAACCCATTCCAATCCTTCCCCTGCCTGGGAGTCCTTGGAATTCCATAGGTTGAGAGCGAAGGTGTTGAGGGGGGATGGAGTAGGAGATTCCATCTCCAGCCAGCTTTGTCCTCAAATCCATGGATCCCTTTGGAGAGGCAGCTTGTGGGGTGAGAACTTGGTTTTCCACGTGCATTTTCCCCTTTGTCCACAAATCCATGGATCCCTTTGGAGAGGCAGCTTTTGGGATGAAAAGTTTGCTTTCCACATGGATTTTCCACCTGGATTTCCCCCTTTGTCCTCAAATCCATGGATTCCTTTGTGGAGGCAGCTTTTGGGGTGAAACGTTTGCTTTCCCCATGGATTTTCCCCTTTTTCCACTTCTCCAGCCCCAGCGTGTTCTGTTGGGATCCAGAGGGATTTTTTGCAAGGCAAAGCAGGGCGAGATCTGCTCCCCAGGGAATGTTTGCATCCCAAATTCTTGGCTTTGGATTTGCTTTTTCTTTCCTCATTAAATATCCCTTTTCCCCCCCGGAATCCGAGGTTTTTTCCAGGATCAAAGAAGATCCCATAACTCCATTTCCTCTTGGATTTTGGTTTCCCACACCTTTCTCAGCCTCTTCCTCTTTCATTCCTGATCCTCTCAAACCTCCCCATGGCCCATCCCCCCCTTTTTTTTTTTGGCGTCTTTTTTGTTCCTTGTTTTTCCTCTCTCCCAAACTCCCAGGGCCGACAGAGCCCTTTGTGCCAACCCTGCTGCTCTCCCGGGAATCCCCCATCCCACTTTTCCTGGGGGTGGATTTCTCTTTGAAAAACTCAGGATTCCTGCGATTTTTTTTTTTTTTTTTTAATCCCGGGGCAGGAAGCGCAGCCTTTGTGAGGAGCAGGGTGGGGGTGGACTTTGGCCTTTCCGCCTCATTCCCACCGGGAAAAACAGCCGGTTTGGGACACGGGTACCCGCGTGGGGATCTGGGAGACGCCACGGCTGGAGTTTGGAATTGCCACAGCACCCCCTTTCCAAGGGAGCAGGAGAGAGGGCTGGGATTGGGGTGGTTGTGCAAAGCAAGGTAAAAATCCAAGCTGAAAATCCAAGGGACAGGGCTCGGAAAAAGGGAGGGGAACAAAAACAACCTTCAAGCTCTTCAACTTCACGAGAGCCGGGCTGCTGCTGCTGCTGTTTAGTCATCCTCGAAAAGCATCCTTAAAGTCGGCCGTGCCGCTCCCAGAGGTGGATTTGTGGGAGGAGCCGGGCTTGGGAAAGGCGATCCGGCTCAGGAATGTCACCCGGCAGGTCCCGACCGCTTTGGGGTTTGTTGTAATCGCTGCGCAAAAAAACCACAAAAAAACCCACCCAAAAACTCAGCGGTGACTCCGCTCCCTCCAGGAGCGCTTCCCGAAGCGCTTCCCGAAATCCCGCAGCGGGGAGGCCTCGGGGAAGGGCTTTAAAAGAATAAAAAGGATTTAAAAAAAAAGGTTTAAGTGGGGGAGGAGGTTGAGGCTCGATGGGCAGCTCTGTGGGGATGGGGCTTGGCCTGGGGGCACTGCCAAGGATCGTGTCCAGGGGAAAGTGGAGGTTTAGGTGGGATATTGGGAAGGAATTGTTGGATCTGAGGGTGGGGAGGGATGGAATGGATTTCCCAGAGAAGCTGTGGCTGCCCCTGCATCCCTGGGAGTGTCCAAGGCCAGGCTGGAGCAATGTGGGATAGGGGAAGGTGTCCCTGAACTGGATGATTTTTAAGGTCCCTTCCCACCCAAACCATTGTGGGATTCTGGGATCTCAGTCCAGTTTTCCTGGTGTCCCTGGAAGGGAAAAGCCTTGTCCTCAGGGAGGGAAATTGGGAAGCTGCTCCTGGAGCAGCTCTGAGTGGCTGTTTTGGGAATGGGGAACCTGCACCACCGAGGAAATCCCTGCTGTGGGGTTTCTGGGCACACCCATTCCTGCTGCTCCTGAGGGAAGGATATCCCTTGGAAAGATCCCCTGGAAGAGTGTTTGCTCCCTGTTCCTGCTGCTCCTGAGGGAAGGATATCCCTTGGAATGATCCCCTGGAAGAGTGATTGCTCCCTGCAGCCCCCGGGGCTGGAGCAGGGAAGCCAAACCAACCTGGGAGCAGCTCCAGAGGGGCCTGCTCTGCTTCAAGATAACTCTGGGCATTCCACACATTCCCAACGTGCCACTGCCCACCCTCCCCCTTCCAGGGGAGCTGCTCTCCCTCCTCACTGCCCAGCCAGGAGTGAGAAGTGGATTTGAGGCATTCCTGACCCAAAGCAGGGAACGTGGCCCCTCTGAGGGGCTCGGAGGTGACGCTGTGGGTGTGTCCATCGCTTCCCTCGGGAGTGCTGCAGCTCCCTAAATCCCAAATGGATCAATCCCAGCTCTTCTCCGGGTGCTCTGTCCTTCCCCAGGGTGGGCAGGCCCTGGCACAGGCTGTCCAGAGGAGCTGTGGCTGCCCCTGGATCCCTGGAAGTGTCCAAGGCCAGGTTGGAGCAAGCTGAGACAGTGGAAGGTGTCCCTGCCCATGGCAGGGGTGGCACGGGATGATCCTTAAGTTCCCTTCCAGCCCAAAGCCTCCTGGGATCCTCAGAGGGAGGAGACACCTCCTGCTGGTGCTGAGGGGTGAATTCCCAGTGCAGGAGCAGTGGGAAGCGCTGGGCCCCGGGAATTCCGGGAGCAGCTGCAGGAGCCGCTCTGGCCTCGCTCTGTTAATTAAAGGCAGCAATTAGAGCTTGTTTTGTCCCGGTGCTTCCCTGTGTTTAATGAGGATGGGAAGGCGCTGGAGCCAGGCATGGAGGAGCCTCTGGGTGTGACATCACAGCCAGCCCTTGGAGTGTGTCCCAGAAATGGGGGATCCCTGTCCTGGGATGAAGGTGTCTGTGGCCTGGGAGGAGCTGCAGCTCCCTGGGGATCCCTCCCGTGCTCCCTTCCCAGCCCTGTACCCCAGCTCTGGGAATGCTGTCCCTGTTTCCCGGTGTTGTGCTGAGGTAACAGCCCCAGCGATGTCTGTGAGTCCCATCACCTGCCTGGGCCTGATATTGGGAAGGAATTCTTGGATCTGAGGGTGGGGAGGGGCTGGGATGGATTTCCCAGAGAAGCTGTGGCTGCCTCTGATCCCTGGGAGTGTCCAAGGCCAGGCTGGAGCACTTGGGGACATGGGCAGTGGTGGCCTTGGCAGTGCTGGCTCTGACGATCTTGGAGGCTTTTCCAAGCTGACCAATTCCATGATTCCATGACTTTAGCCGCCCCTCTGGCTCCTGATGCCCATTTTGCCCCTCACTACCACGATCCAGGACATCCCACACAAGTGTCACCACTCAGGGCTCTTCCCTGTTTTTCCCAGGGAGGTTTCAGCCCTCTGTGCTCTTCCCTGTTTTCCGCAGGGAGATCAAGCTGCGGAATTACGAGCCCGAGGATGAGGAGCTGAAGAAGAGGAAGCTGCCCCCGGGAAAACCGGCCTCAGGTGGGAACCAGCGGGAGCAAGGGCTTGGAAGGCTCCTTGGAAAGCTCCTCTTGCTCCAGGGTGGAAGATCCTGGAGCTGGGTGTGATGGGGAGGGGGAGCAATTCCAGCCCCAGAGCCAAAGGGTTGGTCCTCCCTGGAGGCTCCTCAAGGAGATTCTGGCTGCTTTTTTGTTTGACTTCTCCTTAAACAAACATCAGTGCTGGGATTTGCCAGGGCTGAGCCTCCCCCACCACGTGCTTCCAAGAAGGGCAAGTGAAGGGTGGAAGTTCCCTTGATCTTGGAACGTGGAGCCCTCCTGGAACGGATCCCTTTTAAAAACCCCTCCGATCAAAAGGAGCCTTTGGAAGCTCCGAGGTGGGGAGGGTGGGAATGCTGGCACTGCCCCTTCCTCATCCCTCTGGAAAAGCTTCAGGCTGCCTCTGAATGTCACAGCAAGGGCACGGAGGGGCTGGAGCAGGGAAGGGAAGGGAGCTGGGAAGGGGCAGGAGCAGCTGAGGGAGCTGGGGGGGCTCAGCCTGGAGAAAAGGAGGCTCAGGGGGGACCTTCTGGCTCTGCAATCCCTGACAGGAGGGGGAGCTGGGGGGGGTCGGGCTCTGCTCCCAGGGAACAGGGACAGGAGGAGAGGGAACAGCCTCAGGCTGTGCCAGGGGAGGGGCAGGTGGGATAGTGGGGAAAATTCCACCTGGAATCCCCATCCCTGGAGGGGTTTCAAAGCCCTGTGCATGTGGCACTTGGGGACACGGTCAGTGGTGGGAATGGCTGGATGATCTCAGAGGGCTTTTCCAACCTCAGTGATTCCAGGATTCTCCGAAATCCACCTGCTGGGGTGGAATTCACCCCTCGGGGATGTGCTCCTGGAGCTGCTCCCCTTCCTTGCTCAGCTGAAGGACAGGGAGCTGTTTCCCCACACCTTATCCCATTATCCCTGAGATCTCCAGACCTTTATGCCGGGTTGGACTCCTCCAGTTCTGCCTCAAACCTTGTAAATGAGTCAGGGTGAGTCCAGTTCCACACCCCTGGACAGCTGATCCCTGCAGGAGTCACGGGAAGAGGCCTCAGAGCCAGCTGTTCGTGGTGGTGCATCATTCCCAGAGGATTTTTAGGAGGCCGTCCCCGGGGTTTGGGTGGTGGAGGAATGTGGGAATGGGGTTTTAGCAGAGGTCCTGGGAGCCAGGCCCGGGGCCGTGCGGCATTCCCGGTGTCCCGACGCTGATCCTGTTTCTCCCTCTAGTGGAGGACACGGTGAAGGAGCAGCTGGAGGCGGCCAAGCCCGAGCCCATCATCGATGAGGTGGTAGGTAAATCCCGAGGCATTCCCCGTGCCCGGGCTCCATCCTGGCCTTCCCCTCTCACCGGGTGTCTCCTCTCCCTCCTCAGGATCTGGCCAACCTGGCTCCCAGGAAACCAGACTGGTGAGTGCCTGCGGAGCTTGGAGAGCGGGATTGGAGTCGGCGCTTCCAGCACCGTGGGATTGTCCAAGTGGGGTTGAAAGGGCTGGAAATATCCAGGAATACCTGATTTGGGGGTTAGAAGTGCCAGGAAAACAAAGGGGAAGGTGTCCCATGGGAAGCTGGGCAGGTTCCCTGTGCCAGGATTCTGGGATGGGCTGATCCAGGTGCCAGGTTCCTGGGATGGGTTGATCCAGGGCTGATCCAGGTGCCAGGATCCTGGGATGGGCTGATCCAGGACTGATCCAGGTGCCAGATTCCTGGGATGGGGTGATCCAGGGCTGATCCAGGTTCCCTGTGTCAGGTTCCTGGGATGGGCTGATCCAAGTTCCCTGTGTCAGGATCCTGGGATGGGCTGATCCAGGGATGATCCAGGTGCCAGGATCCTGGGATGGGCTGATCCAGGTTCCCTGTGCCAGGATCCTGGGATGGGCTGATCCAAGTTCCCTGTGTCAGGATCCTGGGATGGGCTGATCCAGGTGCCAGGTTCCTGGGATGGGCTGATCCAGGGCTGATCCAGGTGCCAGGTTCCTGGAATGGGCTGATCCAGGTTCCGTGTGCCAGGATCCTGGGATGGGCTGATCCAGGGCTGATCCAGGTGCCAGGATCCTGGGATGAGCTGATCCAGGTGCCAGGATCCTGGGATGGGGCGATCCAGGTTCCCTGTGCCAGATTCTTGGGATGGGCTGATCCAGGTTCCCTGTGCCAGGTTCCTGGAATGGGCTGATCCAGGACTGATCCAGGGGTGTTGGAATGAGATGATCTTTAAGGTCCCTTCCAACCCAAACCATTGCAGGATTCTGTGGAATGGGAAGTTGTTTAGGAAGGCCCCAGTGTTCCCTTTCCCTGCGGATCCCTGTGGGATGTTTGGCACCACGGGATGGGGTCGGTTTTCCTGGGATGCTGGGAAGGAGGAGGGATTTCTCTTCCCCTGGGGAAGGTGCAGGGTGTCCCCCCTGGCTGTGGGGCTGTCCTGACGTGTCCCTCTCCTTCCCAGGGATCTGAAGCGGGACGTGTCCAAGAAGCTGGAGAAGCTGGAGAGGAGGACTCAGAGAGCCATTGCCGAGCTCATCCGTGCGTGGGGGCCAGGGAGGGGCTGCCATTCCACTGGGATCCTGGGCAATTCCACTGGGATCCTGGGCAATTCCACTGGGATCCTGGGCAATTCCACTGGGATCCTGGGCAATTCCTGAGCAATTCCACTGGGATCCTGGGCAATTCCTGGACAATTCCACTGGGATCCTGGGCAATTCCACAGCAATTCCACTGGGATCCTGAGCAATTCCTGAGCAATTCCACTGGGATCCTGGGCAATTCCTGAGGCAATTCCACTGGGATCCCAAGCAATTCCACTGGGCAATTCCACTGGGCAGTTCCACTGGGATCCTGGGCAATTCCACAGCAATTCCACTGGGATCCTGGGCAATTCCACTGGGATCCTGGGCAATTCCACAGCAATTCCACTGGGATCCTGGGCAATCCCACTGGGATCCTGGGCAATTCCACTGGGATCCCTGGCCCTACCATCAGGGGAGGTCCAGGGAGGGACTGGGGGAGCCCGAGCCCTTCCCACAAGGATCTGGGAAGCTTCCCAGGAGCTCCAGAGGCACTGGGATTGTGCCCAGGGAAGGGTCTGTGGGCTCCACTGGGGAAGATCCTTATCCAGGTGTGTCCCTGCAGGGGAGAGGCTGAAGGGCCAGGAGGAGGAGTTGGCCTCTGCAGTGGGGTCAGCAAAGCAGGAGGGGAGCGACTCCGACTGAGGGATCCGTCGGCAGCCTCGGACCGGGATGCGGCTCCCGCCCCGACCCCCGGGTGTGACCCCCGGCACACTCAGCCCTTTCCCAGACATTCCCAGATCCTGCTGTGCCTGCAGGAGAGGGGCACATCCCAGGAGCCTGGCTGGCTGCAGAGGAGCATTCCTGGGGGAAATTCCCGGGATCACAGGGAGCAGGACACGCCCACCTTGGCTCGAACTCACCTGCTGGGACTCGGAGCAGGGAAAAGTGGGAAAAACTCCAGGCAAGGCCAATCCAGGCTCGCTCTCCTCCTGCTGGGAAAGGAAGGAGATGCCCACATGGCCCTTGGAGAGGCAGGACCTTTTCCCAAGGGATTGGGGCTCCTGTTCCTGTGCAGACACCACGAGGTCTCCCTGCAGAGCTGGGAAAATCCATGGGCACACCCAGAATTCCTGTGGGAAGGGGCTGTTGCTTCAGGACCTGTCCAGCTGACTAAGGTGGGATTTGCCTTGCTTCCCAAAATTTCCCAACCCTCCAGAGTGTTCCACTCCTCCTCTGAGTGTTTTTTAATTGATGTAGTTTGTTGTTAATGGATCTTTTCCTAATAAAAAATTCCATGCTGGAAGAAGTTGTCGCTTCTGGAAGAGGCACCTGGGATGGGCTGATCCAGGGGTGATCCACATTCCCTGTGCCAGGATCCTGGGATGGGCTGATCCTTCAGACTGACACAGAGTAGGTTTAAATGGGATATTGGGAAGGAATTTTTGGCTGGGAGGGTGGGGAGGGCCTGGAATGGGTTTCCCAGAGAAGCTGTGGCTGCCCCTGGGTCCCTGGAAGTGTCCAAGGCCAGCTTGGAGCAACCTGGGCTGGTGGGAGGTGTCCCTGCCCGTGGCAGGGGGTGGCACTGGATGGGCTTTGAGGTCCATTCCAACCTAAAGCATTCTGGGATTTATAATTCCATGAACTTGGTACTTCCTGGAGCCGTGGCCTCATCCCTGGAATGCCCTGCAGGTGTCAGCAGAACTCCATGCACAAACTCTGCCGTGTCCAGCTATTCCCAATGGCTGGGCTCGGGAAAGCCAGGCTTTCCATCCATCCATCCATCCATCCACTCATCCATCCACCCACCCATCCACCCATCCATCCATCCATCCCTCCATCCATCCATCCATCCACCCATCCATCCATCCACCCATCCCACTGCCCTTCCCTCCCTGCCTGACCCAGATCTTTGGCCTCTCCTTTGCCAGGATGGGAAGCAGAGGAGTTTTCCCTCCTTGACTTTAAAGGGAAAAACCTGATTTGAAACTGCCTCTGGATTCAGGTCCTGCTTTTCCCAGTCCTTGGAACAGTAACTGCCACCCTTTCAGCTCTCCCTGGAAATGCCAAAGTATTCTCCTTGAAAAAAATTGAAGTATTTTTTTTTTAAGGACAAAGTAAAATGAAAGGTCCTGACTTTGCCCTTTCCCACGTGGTTCCAGGTTTTATTCCAGACTCAGGTTAAGTTGGGATCAGCCCCAGGCCCCTGGACTGATGCTCATGTGGGACTGGGGCCCGGGAATGGGAATGGGATCCTGGAATGGGATAGGAATCCCAGAGTGGGACAGGGATCCTGGACTGGGACAAGGGCAGTGATCCTGCTGTGGGAGTGGGATCCCAGCATGGAACAGTGATTTCGTGACAGGACAGGGATCCCCACATGTTGTCCTGCCGATGTCCAGGGAGGGGGATGAGTCCTGGGCACCCTGACCTGTGGAATTCCGATGGAATCCTTGCAGGAATGCAGGCACTTGGTGGTTATCCCGCATTTACCAGCTAAAAACCCAAAGGGGGCCCGCCCAGCTCGGGCCTCCCCCTGTTCCCCATCCGTGTGTGGGGCGACTCTGGCTCCTCTGATAATTCCATGGGCTGTTTCTCTGCCCTCCCAGCCTTTCCCATCCTTAGGATGCTCCGTTTTCCTCTGGCTCGTTGGGAACCAGATCGATCCTTTGCCGCCTTTTCCCAGCCCGTGCAGATCCAGGGATGTCACCCCCAGCCCTGCAGGAGCCTCCCTGCCCTTCCCTCTGCTGCATCCCCAAAAAACCAGGATGGCCTTCCTGCCCTCCTTGGAAACACCACCTCCTCCTGCCTCTTCCCACTCCAGCCTCAGGAAATCCCTTCCCAGCCCTTCCCGTGCTGTTTGTGCTCCACAAAGGGACGCTCCGGGGTGGGCAGGGTCGGGAGGGATCCTTTGATGTCCCCGGTGGGATCTGGGATCCCCCAACCTGCTGGGAATGCTGCTCCATCCCAGCCCTCCGGGCCGGGGTTTTGGAGGTCCCACCCCCAGGGACGGGGTGGGGCTTTCAGAGTGTCCGAAGGGCTGCAGGACATGAAAGGGCCCTGCCTGGGCATCTGCCCGGCTGTTTTGGCAGCTGCTGGAAATTCCTTCGTGGTGTTCCCAGCCCAGCTGGGAGTTCTGGGAGTTTCTGCCGCCTCTTCCAGCTCCGGGGAACCGGGATTGTTGTTTCTTCTGGCGAAGAAAGGGGACAAAAACCCCTCTCCTGGGCTTGTTGTCCTCACTCAACGGCTCCCAGAGCATCCAAAACAGGTTCCTGCAAATTTTCCTTCTGGGAGTATCATCCCAGCAGAGGCTGGAGGGTGGAATTTTGTTATTTAAACGTTTGGGATGCTTGGGAAATGCCAGGTTGTTTCCCAGGGCTGTCTGAGATGCTCTGGTGGGGTTGGGAGCTCAGGGGGACCTGTGGCAAGGGCAGGTGGGGGGAATCCCACAGGGACTTCCCTATGGAACAGGCAGCTCTGCAGGGGGGGTCTCACCTGGGGGGAGGGCAGAGGGGCTCAATCCCTTCCCTCCAATCCCCTTTCCAGCACAAAATTCCAGCTTCACTACAGAAACCCAACCCCTTTTCCTTGGCCCAGCGAGACCATCCCTGCCCAACCCTTGTCTCCCTTTTAAAATCCCCGTTAAAAGAGAGATCCAGGAACTCCTTCGAGCTTTGGAGGATTTTTTTTTTCTTTTCCCCTTCAGATTACGGCATTTGACAGAAACCCACGCCGGGAGTCCCAATAAAACTCCAGCTGGATTCATTCCCTGATTGTTAGAGAGCAGAAAACTCCCAATAAAAAGCAGCTTTTATGGAGTAAATCAGCATCTTGGAGCCATTTGAAGCTCCCAAATGTCACCAATAATAGCAAAGCCGTGTTGTTATTAATGTTATTAATGTTACTAATGTTATTAATGTTATTAATGTTATTAATGTTATTAATGAGTTTTCCCTCTGGGGAATCCCAAGGATTGAGGGAGAGTGGAAGCTGGCCGAGAATATTCCACGCAGGTACCACCAGGAGCGGGTTTTTTCCTGGGAGAGTTCTGCTGGCAGCTGCGGGATCTTGACCTATTGTTCCTTCAAATGATGACAAAGAAGGGACAAAGGAGGGAAGGGCTCCACGTCCCTTGGATCTCTCGGGGAGTTTGTGGCACGTTTGGGAAGCTGAGGGTGGTTGGAGCCCTTGGAAATCCCTGGCAGGGTTCTCTCCCGGGGGTTTGTCCCTCAGAAGGCCGGGGAACAGGCAGTGTGTGGAATTCCCTGGGGATGAGATGGCTCCAGAGAGCCAAGGAATTCCAGGCCAAGGGTTGGAGATTAAGGAGAAGGGGCTTCCCATCCTTGTCAGCACTCGAAAGAGCAAAGCTCCTCAGTTGGTCTGGATGGTGCCAGAAGAAAGGACAAGCCCTGAAAGTTTATCCATGGAAATGCCTGGAAGTCTCAGGGAGGCCTGAAAGAGCTGGGAATGCTTCCCTTTCCCGGGATTTCTGAGGGGGCAGCTACTCCCAGCTGGAAAAGTGGGACAGATATGGGGGAATCAGGGATGATCTGGAAGGTTCTCGTGGAGGTCCCACAGGAAGGGAATTCCATGTTTGAACCCACTGGATGCAATCCATGTGCTCTGGGCTGGCCCTGCTGGGGCAGGGAGGTGGCTCCAGGTGCCCCACTGGGGTCCCTCCCAGCCTGGCCCGTCCTGGGATTCTGGCTGGGACATCATGCTGGTGGCTCCTCGTCAGCTGTGGGACAAGGGGCAGCCAATTAAGTGTGTAATTAACACCTCAGCAGGTGCAGTGATTGCAGCAGGTCCGGAGAAAGGGATTTGTGAGGAATTCCCACTCCAGGGAGGGCAGGGGGCTGTGTTTCTCTGCTCCTGGGAAATGCTGGAGTCTGATGGGTGTTTGGGATTGAAGTGAGGGCTCTTCCCTGCTCTCCTGGGGCCTGATCCCTCAGACTGACACACAGGAGGTTTAAATGGGATAGTGGGAAGGAATTCTTGGCTGGGAGGGTGGGGAGGGACTGGAATGGATTTCCCAGAGAAGCTGTGGCTGCCCCTGGATCTCTGGAAGTGTCCCAGGCCAGGTTGGAGCAATCTGGGATAGTGGAAGGTGTCCCTGCCCATGGAACTGGATGATCCCTAAGTTCCCTTCCAACCCAAACCATTCCATGATTCTGTGTCTAACTAGCATTCCAGGGAGAACATTTCAGGGAATGCTGGAAGGAGAAGTCCCCCAGGAGTTGGTGCATCCTCAGCCAAAATCAGGAGAAGGCTCAGGAAACCCCCAGGCCTGGATTTGTTCCCTCCTCTCCAGGGCCTTGTGAGGTCCCTCCTGCTCGGCAAGAGCAGGAAAAGGGTCAGGAAAAAAAAAAAAAAAAGGAGAAATCCCATATCCTGAATAAAACAAATAAACAAATCCTAGGAACTCGCAGTGCCGGCTGAGCTGGCCACGGGCACAGCCATCCCTGGATCCTGTGGAAGGAAGGACTGGGAAGGATTGCCGGGAGTGCCTGGATGGAGCCGGGTCTGTAGAGGGCTCTCTCCGCACGCCGATCCCCAGGAAGTCGGGATTCAGCGCCGGGAATTGGGATAACGAGGGGCTCGGGTGACCGCGGGGGGATCACAGCCGGGGCTCTGGAGATGCAGAGGACAGAGATGCAGGTGCGGGAGGGGGCTCTGGAAGCAGCCGGGAATGGTGCTGGGAAGAGGCAAGGGCAGCTCCCGAGGGCCAGCCCAGGGAGAGGGGCTGGTTGGAGTGATCGGGGTCGGCTTGGAGGGGGAAAAACCCGCGGCTGGAGAAAGGCGGGATTTGTGGGAAGGATGGTTGAGTTCGGGGGGAAAACTCATTAATGTATGGCGGGGAAATCGGCTTTAATCAATTTACAGCGGGAATGCCCGCTCCTGGGATTCCAGAGGCGAGTCCAGCCGTCAGTTCCTGGGGGGGTTTTGATTTCCTTGTCTGTGCAAGGAGGTTTTTTCCTCTCCCGCGGGTCCCTCCCCGAGTGACAAATCCCAGCCCAGGAGGAAACAAATGGCACAAGTTGGGTTGTGGGGGATATTCAGGGGGATTCCCAAACTCGGGAGACAAAAACCTGTGAGCCTGGAACTGCAATTATTAATATGTTTAATAAATAATTGCTGTACGGTTGTGTTTTTTTTTACATTTGTATTTTGGCTTTAGTGTCAGACTGGTTTGGGTGGGAAGGGACCTTCAAGCTCCTCCAGTTCCAACTCATTCCACGGGCAGGGACATCTTCCACCAGCCCAGGTTGCTCCAGCCTGGCCTTGGCCACTTCCAAGGATGGGGCAGCC